TTACAATTTTTTTTAACGGTTGGCATCATTTTACATTAAAATAGTGCAATATTTTAACTGCAATTAATTTCGCACAGAAAAAGTAATCATTTGACCTAATGTGCAGTGGTCAAAAAATTATAGCCGAACCACTTTTTTCTAAGTTTTAACGTATTACTTTTGTTGTCATTGAATTTTTGTAATTTTTTTTTATAAAAAATTTAGTTCATTCTTTAACAAAGCCCGTGTAAATCCAAGTTTCCAAATTTGTGGAATAGTAAAAAAATTAAAAAAATTTTCGTGTAAATTTCGAACTTTTTAAAAATTCTAAAAATTCAATCGAAATTTTTAGCCATTTGGAACTCATACTTTATTCTACTAGAATTCAATGCGCCACAAAACTGCATACTCAGATTTTAATTAAAAACTCGAAATTTTAACGAAAATTTGTTGAATTATTTTTTAAATTGCATAAATGTGGTAATAGATGCGGACAAGGTGGCAACGCCACGGCGAAGTGAATGCAACATACGAACGGACGAAACAAGACAAGAAACCGAGAGACAACAGAGGAGAGTCGCTAGCCGGACGCGGACGTGAAAACACACTCGAAATGTCTTATTAAAATTACTTTACTTATTATTAAAATTACTTAAAACTATTACTTAAGATTAAATAAAACTATTATTGAAAAACTAAATGTATACACTTTAGGGGCAGGGGGGTGCTCGAGCCCCCCCTTTCTAACTTTCAAATTTTCCTTATATATATATATAATAGTACCCTGAAATGTCAGCTTAATAGGGTCGAGCCCCCTCCTAAATTTCATTCTGGCTACGCCGATGTATGTGCATATGTGACAATAAATTAAACATATGTATATTCAAACCGAAACCGTGTGTGTGTTGCGCATCATTTTTGAACGGAAAAGGGACGACATAAATTTTTAAGGCAGTGTCACTCGATTGGTGCATTTGTACAGATTTGTACATTTTTATATTGGGCTATTGGTAAAAAATGGGACAATTTTGATTTTTGTAGTCAAAAGATTGGTATAATACAGCGATGTTCTATTGAAAAATTTCAACAAATTAACTTTCGTGAGTGGGATAAAGAAAAATATTTTGGGTGTTCACACAATTGGGATACGATTTGCACCTAATTTTGGAAAATACCCAATCGTGTGACACTGCCTTTGAACTTGTATTTATACGGATGTTTTTAAAGAACGAATTATAAAAAACGAGCCAAAATTAAATAACAGTAAAAATAATATTTTAAAACTTGTGAAAATTCGGTGCGGCTATAATTTGTTCGCTGCTGTACATAAGTTGACTATGATTACCCGGCCGTGCTATCATAGTAGCACAATGCCACTAAGCGCATTTTAAAATTTTCAGGCAATAGCCCCATGCGATTATCGATTATATTTTTTGTTGTTTGTGTGAAATATTTCATTTTTATCAGTATTTTTCTTTTAATCAAAATATGTTGAAATAAAAGTGAAATTAAAAAAAATTTTGCCACAACCACATTTTAAACTTTGCACAGATTGCTTTGCAGAGCACAGTAGGCGTACTAATCTAAATAGTAATACAAGCATTTTGTGTCCAATTTGCCGTCAAATTATTCGACAATCGACGAAAGCATTTATTTAACTTTTTACTTTTTCATGTTACTTTTTGTTGCTAAACTTTGAATTATTTAATTTTCATTCACATGTACATACATACATACATATGTATTAAATATATGCATTGAAATTCGTTAATTTAAATTTCTTCGTATAATAAAGAAACCAAATATTTAGTTCTATGTTATCATATTAGTTAGTTTTTATTGAGAACAGGGGGTTTTGGATGTACATATTCTAAAATGGAGACAAGAGCCACAATGAGGATGACATAACGCCCGCGGGCGCTATTTCCGCGGGCCTTATTGCACTCCACCATATTCTGATGTGTCAGACAATATACACAACAGACACGAATCTCCTCCTATTAATTAGGGATGGAAATTAGCCATGGGTAATTGCGCAATTTTTTTGGCGCTAGCTCAATAACGCCAGCGCCACCTGTGGTGTCAGCGCACTAACCCAGCGCAATAGCGCAGTGTACTGAATTGAACACGGCGCCATCTGAGTGTCACCACAGTACCCATCGTCATAAAGTACAGTACACCATACAGTGGTGTCGACTCTCGCTCGACGACTTTTCGACTTTTTTACTATTTGCGGCCGCTGGGTTCAAGCCCTGGTCAAAGCAACGTCGCAAAAAAAAATATAGTAAAAAAGTTTTTTCTTAACAGCGGTCGCCCCTCGGCAGGCAATGGCAAACCTTCGAGTGCATTGCTACCATAAGCTTGTCATAAAAATACCATCGCCGTTCAGAGGCGACATAAAGCTGTATGTCCCTCCCCACTGTGTGAGAACATCAAGGAGAACACTAGCATATATGTAAGCGCCAATCTATTATTAGTTGCATTTTTTTGTAAGCGAGCGACAAAAGAACGCTCAACTCGGGTAAAAATTTCCTTTTAGCTACTTAAGCAACCTTGTTGGTGGCCGGTAAGAAACATGTGATTAGTTTAACGGGATTTAGCTACAAAAACCAATTGAAATGAGTAATTATGCGAGGTATTTGCGTAATATATATACTTATTTAAAAAATAAGTCACGTATATGTGACCTGGTCTACGGAAAGGGGGCTTAGGTGTCAAAAAATCAATTTTCACTTTTTGCTTGATTCGGATGGAAGATGAGATGCTTTTTCACGTGGTGAAAAGCAGAAAATCCTAACTTGCTTAGAAGTGTACTAAAAATGTAGAGAAAGAAGAGTAAAAATACGACAAAATATAATTTATTGGTAATGAACAAAATACATTGAATTATAAGCTATAAAGACATGATTATACACTAGAAAAACGTATTATGGGCCAAAAATAATAATGCTGAGTAGTTTATGTATTTTTCTTTGTTGTCGTTTTCCTTGAGATCTTTTTACGTGTTGATCCTGAGGAAGATGGACCTGGTTCCTCGTCTGGTTTGAGAACATCTTCACTAGTTTTTGCCTTCCGTTTCTTCGATGGCAAATCTTTCGGCAATGGAGCCACAATATCTACTTTAGATATATCCGAAACTAACTCCTCATCAACACTCATGTTTCATTTCATGCGAAATGCGAAGACGATAATCAACAGAAACAGTAAACGTCACTTCTTCAGTGTTACTTTTTTAAATGTTCCACACTAGCAACTTACACGATGAACTATAATAATATTCCGACCAACAACAACACTTACTGGACCAACAACAACACTTACTGGACCAACAACAACACTTACTGGACGTCCGGCGCGGAGAACAATTAACGAGATAATGAGAAACTGACGAAACGAGTTGCTTACTTTTAACAGCTTTTTCACAGAAAACTAGTTTTCGCACGTAAGCTCTCTTTTCGTAGACCAGGTCACATATAAGGAAAAAAAAATTCCCTCTCTACTTTCCCATTAATAATTCACAATAGAGCAGTTTTTTCACTTACCAACACTACCCTTCAGGTCGCGTATTTTTTAACCGACCTGGCTGAACTCGGATAAATAGCTGAGTTTGTGTTGTTGCTTTGCGTGTATTTCATTATTTAAGCGAGTGTTCTTTTGTAGCTCGGTTGCAAAAGAATGCACCTATTATTATTATTATCTATTGATGGTAGCTTTATAAGCTAATTTTTAGGTTTCACCATCCTATAGTCCGGGAACCAGCGACATATTTTTGTCAATGATTTAAGTTCCGGCCATATTAATATATATGATTCGTATGATGTCGCTACGAAGCGTAGTAACGTTCAGCTGCGCCATTGTGGGTGGGTTGGGCTACAGCAGCCTCCCACGCAAACAAAAAAAATAAAAAATTTAATTGTTTCAGTTTTGCTAGAAATGATAGAGTGTATAGTAAAGAGTAAGAAAACGATGTTCAGCTGGCTGTATGTGGGTGGGTTATACTTCAGCTGCTCAGGTGAACATAAAAAAATAAAAAAAATTTATGATTTTAGTTCGCACGAAAATTGGTTAGGTGATAGTGGATATGATGCTTAAATCAAAACAAAAGTTCAGCTGGCTTTATGTGGGTGGAAAAATGTTCAGCTGAGGCAGTGAAGGTGTAACGCAGAAAGCAGGTATATGAGCGGCGCTCTCAAGGCACGCGTAACTTTAATACGTCAACTGAACGTCTTTCCGCCCGCATACAGTCAGCTGAACGTTTTTTTGGTTTAAAGTGATATTTTAACTATCATATAACCAATTTTCTCCCGAACTGAAAGAATGTATCTAAACTTACACGTATTTACTCATGCAACTGTCGTACAAGTGACGTGCATGTTACGGTAGCAGATTACTTATAATTTCTACTTTATTAATGTTAAATATACAAGAGTTTTCAATCGTCGCGCATTTTACGCGCGTAGGTCTTGTGGTATATTTTTAATTGCGTTTTCCTTTTTATCTAGAACAAAGAGACGAAGCCGCCATATCACAAGGTTTATATGTACAAGGTTGCACATTGGGTATGTCCGTTAGGTCAAAATTTAACAAACAGCTTATTGCTGGGCGACAACATCCAAACAGCGACAACAACAAACAGCGTTCACTTTACACACCGACGACATATACTACGTTTATACTCACGTATTATTTGCAAATAACTAAATCACGCAAATAAGTATTGATTAGTGGTACTATTTGCAAATAAGCGCAAGACGCCGCCATTCTTAAGTTTATTTTCTTTTACAATGGCTATCTTATTGCCATTTAGTAATCAAGACGTTGCCATTTTGAACTTTATTTTCTTTTTCGATGGTCATATTATTGCCATTTTATAATCAGGCAATATTAAAAAAGAATTTTTCACCATCGAATAAACAGTGAGTTCGGTATTTGCAAATTATTTTTATTTGCAAATAGCTTACGTACAAACGTAGTAATAGACACACAGTTCAATTGTTGAAGTGAAAGCAAAAATTTGATCGCCTTGTGACGTCTTGCGTACAGAGGGGCAATTTTTATTTCGCACATTGCGCGACCTTGTATGAATTGTTCTTGACCATATCAGTGACTTTGGAGCCTTCATTCGAGTGAGATCTACTACGACAACGCTGCCAGAATAGAAAGTGAAGCGACGCCACCGGGGAATTCTCGCCGCGATGTCGACAATAGTGCCTTTTTGTGTTTTTTGAAAAAAAAGAAAATAATTTTTACAGAACGTTTACAGAACAATCTCTAAAAAAGTGTAGTGAAATATTAACAGTTCGTCAGAACAATAATTTACTTGGAAAAGAAGTTATATTGCCAGCCCAGCCGAATGACTTCCAATTGTATCACGTCAACTGCTACAAACGCTTCACAGCTTTACCGTCAAAATATAGAGTTCATGCCTCGAATCTTGCAGCAAAAAATGCGGAAGCATCATCTTCTTCAATAGGAGGGTAAGTCAAATGATTTTACTTAAATATTTGTTCATAAAGAAGTGTTTTCACAAGCTAGTATTGACATATTTTTATCGTAGTTCTTTGCTCATTATTTATTCCAACCATTCGTAATTTTGTTTTATTAACCTTATTATACTTCATTATTTCTACATGTTTTCTGTTGTATATTGATTAAAGTGTATTCTTAATAAGAAATAGCAGAAATTAAATACAGTGAAATTTCTCATAACCGGACCCTCTATTTGACACATACGACATGAATGTATGCATACATGCTAAAAGGGGAATCACCAATTTCATTTTTATAAAAACCGGCTATGCAAGCTGTTCCGGTTACAAGGACTGTCCGCAATGAGGAATTTCACCACCGCACCGCAGCACCGGATAATACTGCAGATTGTTTACTTGAAGTTGAGCAATTGGGAAACACAAAGCGAGAAAGCTTCATCCAGGAATGTGTGGATAATTCCAATAAGTTTGAGCAGTCGATCCCCCGAACAAAATATCTAAATTTCACAAATGGGATGGCAAAAAAGAAAACGTATATTGGTGGCAAGGAAATAGAATTGCGCATGCAGCGTGATTTATTTGGCCAATTATTAAGCATTTCTTTAAAAAAGTAACTCCCCCCCTGAACACCACTGCCATTGTCCAAGTGCCATCTGGACGGAACAATTTGCAAGACTGACAAATCGTCATTAATGAGATTATTAGAAATGAAAATTAATTCCTCCCCTCCTCAACACACTGATGTTATGATATTTGATGGCTACTTTATGTTGTATTTGATGAAAAACGTGCCTGTTACGTTCGATAACATATCTATACAATTTTTGAAAATGATCTGCGCAAACAGTGCCAACACTATCATCCTCACTTTTGATCGATATATATTTCCGTCAATCAAAGACACTGAACACAAAATCAGAGGAATGCAACTGTCCAATTTTAGCATCAGTGGGTCTGAGCAAGTACGACCGACCGACTTCACAGGCGAGTGGAAAAATGTCAACTTCAAAGAAGCTATTGTTAGGTTTTTTTTTGACCATTGGGCAGAGGATTACATGGCGCCGTATATAAATAATAAAACTATTTATGTAAATGCTGACGCTTGCCATAAGTATATAGTCAGAGATGGTAAAATGATCCGAAGTATCGAGCATCAACTGACTTGTCCTAGTCACGAAGAGGCAGACACTAAGATTATTTACCACATTTGTAAATTACAAAGTGATACTAACGTTAACATTCGGTGTTTCGACACTGATATTTTAGTCATAATTATCGCCAATATGAGCAATATAGACAAGAATATTAATATATCGATGCAAGTTGGTGTAGGTAACAATCAACGATTTATTAATATCAATCATCTGTACGAGACTTTGGGAAGCGATGTAAGCGCGGCGCTGCCAGCCTTCCACGCAATAACAGGATGTGACTTTAACCCGGCCTTTTTCCGGAAAGGCAAAAAGCGCCCTTACTTAATGATGACCAAAAATAAAGAATTTGTCAACAGTTTTATTGCAATGTCCACCTCATCGGAGAGTAGAGAAGATCTTTTTGACAAAATACAAGAATTCGTCTGCCGACTCTACGGCTTCAAAAAAATTAATGACATCAATGAAGCTAGGGTCGCAACGTTCATGAGGAACTACAAGGTGCTGGGGAATAATAATGTTTTCCGCTTGACGAATAAAACTATCGACGGCTCAGCTCTACCACCCTGTAAAGTGGAACTGCAGCAACAATTCCTAAGAGCGTGCTACATCGCTCAGATTTGGGCGCATGCTCATCTACAAGTACCCAGCGGCGAAACACCGTCCGTTAGACTATAGCTGGGAAGAAATGGACAACAGATATCAATTTAAGTGGTTTACTGACAGCCAGTTACCACATCACTTGACGAAATAACAAACAAAAGGTAAGACAAATTTGAATAGAAAAGTTTTTTCGTTCAAAAATTATTTCATTTAAAAAAATTTTTTTTTTAATAACTGTTTTTTATTTATTAATATATACTTGCTATAAACATTTATTTATGTGATAAATTGTAAATATTAAAAACTAATATTTATTATATCTGTTTGCAGATGATGACAAAGATATACTGTCAGAGATTTCCGAAAGCGATTCTGATAGCGAATCGGATGACGACGCTACAAGCTCGTCAGCAGACCAAAGCGAGGAAGAAACCTAAATTTATTTATGTATATATGCTATGTACAATATTGTGTACGTAAAATAAAAATTTTCATAGATATACTTCTTCATTTATTAACATGTACGTCACTTGTACTAAAGTTGCATGAGTAGGTTTAGATACATTCTTTCAGATCGGGTGAAAATTGGTTATATGATAGTTAAAATATCACTTTAAATCAAAAAAACGTTCAGCTGACTGTATGCGGGCGGAAAGACGAACGTCTTAAAGTTACGCGTGCCCTGAGAGCGCCGCTCATATACCTGCTTTCTGCGTTACACCTTCACTGCCTCAGCTGAACGTTTTTCCCCCCACATACAGCCAGCTGAACGTTTGTTTTGATTTAAGTATCATATCCACTATCACCTGACCAATTTTCGTGCGAACTAAAATCATACATTTTTTTTTATTTTTTTATGTTCACCTGAGCAGCTGAAGTATAACCCACCCACATACAGCCAGCTGAACATCGTTTTCTAAGGCACTCCGCACATTAAGCTCCTAATCATAGTAGTGTAATCGTTTCGCCATACTAAAGTATAAAGCTTTTATGCCGAACACATGTGTTTCAATGAAGCTCTGTACATTACGATTCAAAATCTTGTTTTCGCCTAAACATAAAAGCTTCATGAATCGAAGCGCCCAACATTGTAAGGCGCTTGTAGTTTTGAAATCATCATTTGTTTACTTTTTTGTGTTGGAAATAAAATTTATTTGTCAATTCAATAGAAAATGAATGATTTCGTGCTAAAATTCGTGCAAATTGTATTAAACCACAAGCGTTTATGTAATATTTCGGAGCAGAAATATTTGCGGAAGTGCGTAGTTGCGAAAGAACGGCCAGAAAATTTGTTATGTGTATAAAGTGTTTATTAGCTGGTGACTTATGCCCGGCGTGCAAGTGTGCAGAAGTCGAGTCGTTATGCATCCGTTTCGGCATGACGAACCGATTACTCTACTTTGATTAGGCGCGTAATGTGCCCAGTGCCTTACTCTTTACTATACACTCTATCATTCATATCATTTCTAGCAAAACTGAAATAATTAAATTTTTTATTTTTTTTTGATTGCGTGGGAGGATGCTGTAGCCCAACCCACCCGTGGTGCCGCAGCTGAACGTTACTAGGCTTTAAAGGAGCATTACAGGATGCATTCAAATGAATGTGAGCAAAACGAATTTCACGTATCTCGCAACTGCTTCCTCTGGTGTTTGTTTGGGGCATACCCCATTCCACGCCTCTTGCGTTGAAATCTCCAGCAACAATTATGTGGCCGGTTATATCGCGCAATTCGTCTTCAAGGTCTTCGAGCTTTCCCCTGAAGACAGGGACTGTGTCGTTTGGAGACAGGTAGCAGCTCACCACAGTGATTTGCGCCATTTTAACCCAGACGTAGCAGCGTCCTACCCCGCTGCTCTCTGCGCGATGGTTGGGGTTAGCAATCCATATCGCGGCCGAGCCTGATTGGTCAACATGCCAGGTTTCTTTTGTTCTATAGGGTTCACTGATGATGACAGCGTCTGCTCTTTGTTCAAGAACCAATTGGTCCAGCAGGTCATCAGCTACCCTACTCCTGTTCATATTGCCTTGTATAAATTTAATCATATTCTCCCAAGCTTTGTCTTAGCCTCAGCAAGGGCATCCCTGAAGGCCTTGCACGCTCCCGACCCGGGCAGGTGATGGGAATTTTTCTGTCCATCTCCTGCCGAGCACAGGTAGCAGCTTGGGCTTTCTTTACACGCAGAGGCTATGTGGCCCTGCTGACCACATTTCCAGCATGAACTGCTTCTGTCTGGGCCTTTGCATGCCGCCTTTTTGTGGCCATACCCCAGACAGCGGAAACACCTTTGGACATCCGCGCGCTCTCGGACGCGGCAGATAATCCAACCTACTCGCAGCTTCCCCTTTTCAATAAGAGTCCGGCCTGGCAGTTCATCGATTTCCACCACGGCCATTCTTTGTTCTCGCGAGTTTACAGCGAGGAGAGAGACGCGAAGTTGGCCATTCATCTTGTCTCCTAACTCCCCGCGTATAGCGTTCTCCACTTCTGGGGCCGTGGTTAGGCAGTCCATGCCCAGAACTTCTAGACGTAAACGTCTAGTGAGAATACGGGCGTCTCCAAGCTGGCCAATGGCAGTGCACACATTTTCCTTAAATGCTGTGTGGTTGCCACAGCGCTCCATTTCGATGAGCACGCCGCCTTCGCGGGTTTTCCGAACAGATCGAATTACGGTCTCCGTCTTCTCGGGTTGGAGCTTACCGCGTATCGTTCCCAGCACCTCTGCATAGGTTTTGCCTTCAGCTGGCTTAATTATTAATTTGGCGAGACTCTTCTTTTTTCTCACCCTCTTCTTTTTTTTGCGGCTGGTCGCCTCGCCCTTATTGACCAAGGGTTCACCTGGCGCTGGCCCTGGCTTGGGCTTTCTACTTTTTCCAACCGTTTTCCATTGATTGTCTGGTACGGTTTTCTGTGCATTGTTGTTATTATTGCCATTATTATTAGGATTATTAATAATAATGTTTTTACTACTATTATTATTATTAGCAGTAGTATTTTTCTTCTTTTCCGGCTCGCCTGTAGGGGAGTCGGATCGAGTTCGACCTCTCTTTTGCGAGCCAGGGCCAGCCTTCCGCAGCTCGGAAAGGGTAGGCCCCTTCCGGCGCTGCTCTCGGAGGTAGCTTAATATATTTAAGCTCTCCTCGATTTGGGCCATACCTGTTTTTATGTCCATGGACACATTCTTTTGCTTAGACACAGCGCTCTGCATCTTCTTCAGGACAAGCCGAATCTGGGCCAATTGCTCATCTTCATTGCCTTCGCAAGTTCCCAAGCTTGCGGTGACATGCTTGTCGCTGTTTGCAGCAGCCGGCGTTTGAAGACGACTATCCCGGCTGCCGGGAGTTGCCGTTTGGCAAGGTGTAGCCTTCTGCGCCACGCCGGCGGCTTTCTCCGTGCTCGTGGTGCCGGAATTTGCCTGCAGAGGAGTTTGTGGCGGGGAGCGCACGACTCTACTGCTCTTCCTGAATGCGCTGCATTCTTCCTCCGTATCATCGACGTTCGTTTCGTTTATTGGTTTTGTTTTAATCATTTTCAGTCAATTGGGTCTCCGCTTCAAGCCGCTATCTCCACACGTAGCACAGTCGCTTTTAAGTGTCCCGAAGTTCCCTTCTCTCAAAGGAGCAGGCCATCGCGAGGGTTGACACAAGTCCTTATGGGATATTGTGTTCAGAGCCAAGACAGCGCAAAACCAGGAGTAAATCTCAACTGGACCTGTGCGGCCAACTAAATGGCGACGTGTATTGAACGTACTTGAAGACCTGCCAGGGTTTTAACGAGACGGAGGCGATCGCAGCATTAGCCCACCAGCCATTTCTGTGAGGTGTCACCCTCACATACTAAAGTGGCGGAATACTGCTCTCGCCAGCCCAATATCAGACTAATCGTATACATGCTCCAGTATGCCATGAACAGGATCTAACTGGTCTCAATCCTGGGATGCTTTTTGGGGGGCGGCATCTGTTCGCCCGGACACAGGAGATTCATCAAGCATTTCTGATCTTTTAAATCAGGCCCTCGTCTCCTGCCGCTCTTGGTCTGGGACTGCTTATTGGTTATTCGCAGCTAACCTATCGGAGTAGGCCGTTCACGATCCGCCCTGTGTGACCCCGGTAAGGTCCTGAGCTTAGCCCTTACCTGGCTGGCTCCCGGACTACTATTGCAGTAGTGTTATTATTGCATTTATTATTATTATAGTGCATTATAGCAAAACCGCCGCTTCAACTATGTAATATTCAAAATATGGCAATACAATATTTAAATAAACAGCATTCAACAAGAAGCGTTCAATACTACAGATAATTTTATAATGGCTCCAAGGTTGATATTCGTTGACTGCTCAAAAATTTACAAATCAGTCGATGAATATATGTGGTTTTCTTAATAATTTCATATTGATATTTAATTTTAAATTCCAATGCCAAATCGTGTGCAACTAATTGATAAAATATAATTTGTTGGATTATTAAAAATTATAATTTATGTTCATTACTTAATAAAGTAAGTATTAATTTTTTTGTAATTTTTCAAAAAGTCGATTTAAGTCATAAAGTCGACAATCAGAGGTGATTAATCGACTTAAAGAATCGAAAACCGGAAAGTCGATTCCGAAGTCAAGAATCGATTCTGCGGGCGCCTTTTCTATCCCTACTCTCAATCATGAAAATTCACTTAATCCTGAGACACCTTTAAATTAAAGAAAATTAAAAAAAGCACAACATTAAGGGTTGTTTTTATATAGACCACCATTTTTTTCATTATTCTTGCTTCTCTTCTTACATATTTTGCCTTAAATGCATATATGTATGTATAGGCATATTTTGTCAAAAATGCATTTTCGGTGCATTTTTTATTAAACGCCGTTTGCCTAGAACGAACGAATCACTCCACAATTGAAAGAGCATTTAATTATTCCATGCAACTATTGGGTACTGATTTCGTCGAAAATTATTTTAATGTCTCTGACGCGGCGCTATATATCGAGCCCTAACCGCCAAAAAACATAAGCGACATTTTGTTCAAAATTTTCTTTTGATGCAGAATTGCATCTAGATGCTCTACGGGCATTTCTGCATAAAAAGAAAATTTTTGAAAAATATGTAGCTTACATTTTTTCGGGGCTAGGGCTCGATATGGTATAATCAACCAAGGCGCTGAAGGTATTTTACCCAAAGTTAATGCACGTAACTTGTTTGGCACGCAATGCACCGAGTGGCCGAAGATGTAAGAGCCCGCTTCAGTGATCTTGAAGATTTAATATCGAATGGAAAAAATATTTTTAAAATCTACTTTGCGCGTTGAAGCTTTTAAGCACATGTATCCCAATATCGCTCTTCCGCCACAGCCAATATTAACGAGATGGGGAATCTTTTTAGAGGCGGAAAAATATTATTGTCTACATTTTAAGGAATTTCAAACTATTCTTAAAGATCTAAATTATAGTGACGCTTCTTCAATATTGAAGGTGAAAAATGAAATAGCCTATAGCCTATATCAGAGGTTTTCAAACTTTTTTCTCGTGGACCTTTTTAAAAAGTTTACTGTTTTCGGTGGACCCGCTGCTGATACATTTCTTAATATTCCCAAAGCTCGTAAAAAGATGAAATGTGAAGATTAGATCTAACTATGTAAATTTGCATCGCGGGTTGTTTAGGCCAACGGCCTAAAGTCCACTAAATTTCGACCCACCCTAATATTTAACAGAACGTCTTATCAGCCCAATTCTAAATCCTTTTTCCCTGGGAGTTTGTTCTCTTTTCCCTACTCCCGCATTCTTAATAAAAAATCTCCCACATTTTTGACCTTCCTCTCTTTTCCCTCATTCTAAACTAACTTCGAATATGTAGGCAACAAAAAGGTGGCATTACGAATGTAGTGGGAAAGGGAGAAGTAATTACATTTCTCAAGTTTTTGTTCCTCATTCTTCTCGTAAGGAACAGCGCGGCAAAATGTAAGTATTAGAATTAAAATTAAATAATAATTAAAAAAAATATCTTATTTTAGGGCAAAGACCACAAATAAAAGGCAATTGGAACTATTGGTGCAATTAATGGATTCCCAACCGGGTATTGCTCGTCGTTTCTTTAAAGGCGGCAAGGAAGAGTTGGCAAAATTTTGGCGGTCAGAAAAATAAAGCTGAACAGTGCAGGTCCACCAATGAAAACTGTTGCCGAATGGAAAAACGTACACAAGTGTACCGATTTGTTGCATATTTCAATAAAATTTTTATTATAGGTGTGGGTGGACCAAAAAAAAAACATTTTAGAAACAAGGCGGCCCAAAATGTAAGAGCCAGGACTGGCACAGACGGGGCACCAATCACTGAAAAGAAATTTTCGGCGACCGAAGAGGCAATTTACAAACTTACAAATATGAAGGAGTCCGTGGAGGGTATAGTCGTGCCCAAGTTTGGGTTGCAAGCGAAACAAACTGAACTCACGATCGATTCAAATGAAATGGATGTATCGCAAATTTTGCTAGGTAATGTGCAGTATTATACTTTAATCTAGTGAATTATTACATTTTAGTACACATTAGACGATCTAGAAGAACGAACGAACACGACCGCGGTAACTGATCATTTTGCATGCATCAAAGAAATACCTACTCAAAAATCTCCTAAAAAACAAATTAACTCGCTGGAATTGATTGGTGAAGAAGCAGAAATACAAAAGGATTTATGTGAGAAGGTAAGAAAAATATATAAATCAATAGATAGCCTTTACAGTCTACAAAAAAAAAAAACATTTTGCTGCGATTGAGAAAATTGAAGAAGATAAATTTAAAGAAATACAACGCCACCATTTCTTTGATGGAAGAACTAAGGAAAAGAGAAATTGAAAATAAAATTGAAAAAATAGACGAATTTTGGAAATTGAAGAGTTAAAGACTACTTTAAAAATGTAGTGAAGACTTTACATTATATGAATTTAAGTTTGAGTTAAACTGTTACTATAAATACCTGAAGTTACTTTTAAATTGATAGATTTTATTTAATTATTTGTTATTGTAATTGCGATTGATGTGCACAATATTGGACAAAATTTATGTATTACGTAATGTACACTTATGATCAGCTATTTAAGTCATCAACCATTTGAATAATTTTGCTATTTTTTTTGTTTATTTAATGTTTATTATTTTTCCATAAAAGTCTAGCTCATATAAATCCAAATTTCAAACTTTGTGCGAAAATTATAAAAAATCAGCAAAGATTCAACTAAATTCTTAGAATTTAATAGCCCATTAAATTCCAGGGTAATAATGAGCAAGTTTTAATAGCTGAAGAATCGCGTTGATTTTTAATATATTTTTTTCTTTCAAAATATATTCGACAGAAAAACAATTATTAAAAATCAACGCGTTTCTTTAGCAACTTGAAACTTGCACATTATTATCCTAGAATTTAACGGGCTATGAAATTCTAAAAAATCTGAATAAAAAGTTGAAAATTTATCTTGAACTTTGCAGATTTTGTATAATTTTTGCACAAAGTTTGAAATGTGGACTAATATGGTGTTTGTTATATAATGACCTAGACTTTTATGTAAGTATAATTAACATTAAATAAACAAAATAAAAATAGCCAAAATTGATCAAAATGTCGATGACTTAATTAGCTGATCACAAGTGTATGTACATACATATGTATGTAGTCATTCAAAATACACACGTATTAATTAACAGGTAATTTTTAGCAAAAAAAAACCGACTTAAAACAAAATATATATATCTCTATATATTTCAAGATCCAATGATCGGATCTAAACCAGATTAGTATGGGACCACCTCTGAGACCCTACCTTTCCGATGCAAAAATAATTATCGAAATCGGTTGACGTGGTCCAAAGTTATGCGGTAACATACACAAAAAAAAAAAAAAAAAATATTCCGATGAACTGATAACCTCCTCCTTTTTTGGAAGTCGGTTAAAAAAGGCTAAACGCTAAATAAAATGAAATGAATTAAATACAAATTTTATATCTTTATAATAAATATTTCTTTTAATTTTTATTCCATTATGTTAGTTATAGGAGAAAGGAACTAAGCCTTCGTAAAAATGAATAAAAACAGAAATATTAATAAATTTTAGGTGAGTGAGTTACCAATATTGGTTCTTATCATTTGAGCTGCATTTAAATTTTGAAAGGAAGTTATAGAGAACACTTCACTTCCCGGAATATAAACACCAGTATCATTATGTGGAACTTCATCTGTTTTGAAAAATATGCAAATGTTATGCAAACAACAGCAAGCATTTATGATTTTCGCTGCCTTCTTTGGAGTATAATGAAGCTCCCGTACGCCAAGTAGACATCTCCACCGATTTTTCAAAACTCCATTGGTTATTTCAATAATGTTTCTGCATTTTGAGTGGACCTCATTAAATTTCATTTCCGCTGAACCTTCGTGCGGATTTCGGTGTGGAGTTAATAACCATGGCTCTAACGGATAGCCGGCATCACCTAAAGAAAAGCAATTTAAAAACTTATATATATTAAAATACTAATCACTTACCTAAGAACCAAAAGTTAGTAACACCTTGCAAATATTGCTGTTCACAGTAAGCGCGTAGACCACTGGAATCCCAAATGAAGGAATCGTGACAGGCACCGGGATGTGATGCATCAACGTAGCGAATATTTAAGTAATTGTCACAAAGCTGGAAAGTATTTAATTTGAGCTATACATATACGTAAATTGAATTAATACAACACAGCATACCAGCATAACATTTAAACTAAAGTTTCCTTTTCTATTGTAGTACAAATGTTTATTTTCGGTTGGCACAATAATGCGAACATGAGTTCCGTCAAGGCATCCTGTTACTCCAGGAATTTTGTGTTTCAGATAGAAAATTTGTGCAGTCTTCCCCTTTGCTTCCTCCGATTTTGGAACCTTTATCCAATTCGGGCAAATTGCTTTTTCGAAAACGTCTAATATTTCGACTAGTATTTTGCTCAAAGTTGATTGGGCCAGACCGACATCATAATCCATGCCAATTCCAGTCTGGTGTCCACCTTCGGCAAACAAACGCAAACAAGCGCTAAGTTTAATTATTATTGGTACAGCGCACTGCTTTTTGTCAGGCTGAATAGAGGATCCACACGTTTCCAGCAGGTATTTAAATGCAGGTTTACTCACCCGAAAGTATTTCGTAAACTTCTATTATTATGTTATTATGTTTTTAATTTTCCCGTCGGAAATGTATACATTGAGCTATAAGCTTACAATGTTTGAGGCAGCTCCAAGGGATTTGTGGCATCACGCACATTCCGACGGCTCATTCTTTGAAAATTATCTTCTTGCTCCTCGCATTCTTGCACCACAAATCTCCTTAAAGCGATATTTAAAATTTTGGCCGTTAAAATTTAAAAATTCTTCACTTCCTTTATGAAATTCTTACAAAGAAAATAACTCACAATACAAAAAGCAAAACAAAACATATGATTTCGAAAATTCGAACTCCCACTCCCAAAAAACTCAATCTCCCAGAGTTTTGTAATTTGGGAGTTTTACTATTGGGAAAAACTTTGCTCCCAAAATGGATTCTCCCTGGGAAAATTTAGAATTGGGCTGAATGTATTATGATTTCTGTCGAACTGTTTATGATCCTGTTCCTTATGTTAAAATATCCAGTTCGACCGGTAACCGTAACAAAAGACAAGATCGGTTTACTTACTTGTTTTCCGAGAGTGAAGTCAAGAGGACGTGTTCCAGCCACTGTGTTCCTGTATCAATCAAAGGTAATCTGTACAAACAAAATATATGCATTTGAATAAACATCAATTTATATTGAATTTTAATACAAACTCTTTCCTTTGTTTTCATTTACATAAATTAAATCGGCCACAACTTTGTATAAGCATACAAACATACTGGCCCTTCGAGCCGGATGCTGCTGTGGTTGCTTGGTGCAAAAATTTTGTAGCTGGTGCAATATACGGCTGCTTTCGATTGGCTCAAAATCCTTAGATGTGCAAAGAGCTGGGCGCTGGCAAGTAAACTTTTAAGTATTACGGCTCGAAGGACCACAGTATGTTGAACCGGCATAACGCTTTTGTTACGGTTACCGGTCGAACGGTTTAGTTATAGAAGCGATATTTTAACATAATGAACAGGACCGTAGACAGTTCGACAGCAATCATAATACAAAAGACGTTCTGTTAAATATTAGCATGGGTAGAAATTGAGTGGAGTTTAGGCCGTTGGCCTAAACACGGGTGAATTCAAAAACTAAACTCGGAGTGGCCAAAATAAAACTAAAATATTTTCTTTGTATAATTTTTTATTTCTATTTATTAAAATAATGTGATTACACATTTGCAGGTTTAAAAATAGAGAACGTAAGTCCATCACTATACTCTCTCGCCCTGAGGAGTTATACCCCCTGCCCCTACCTGGCTACGCCCATGGACCTGAGATTGAAGGCAACATGAGATTTGCTCACCTGCATCCCCTCGAAGCCTCCCAGTCATTGCTGAGCGAAGCATTCACCCAGTTTCCGATGGTTGCTTCGATGGCCGAAAGTGGGTGTGCTAAAACTGGTTGCGGACCGAGGAATGCGTGGTCTGAGCCAATTCTGGCCAAATGGAAGACCGAAGCATATTACCCAACAGAAAAGTGAAGCTTATCCCCATTAACTTCAAAAAAGACCCCAGATCATGACCCAGAGTCAGTTTTGGAGCCATTAGTGAAGATTCGGCAATGTGTGAGTCCGGTCTCAGTGATGGAATATAGCCCGCATTCAGTCTCAGTAAACTCAACTTTATAGAATGTCTTCAACAAAGGTAATGGTGGCGTACTATCCTGTAGCAATGAAAATCACAAGTGCTTAAATCTCTGCCGCCAGGAATTTCCGGCATGCCACTCAGTGTTATACCAACATCCGGTTCTTTTTAGTCTGCAGGTGGCCTTTAAGGCTTTCCAACGTATGAAAACACAAAGTGACGGTAAGTTCAGCAGTGTATTAAGAGCACTATACGCCACTCAAAAAAATCACATCGTGTATAATCCCAATGAACTTAGCTTACTTTAAGTACGCCCAAATCATCAGTGTTGACGTAGAAAGAACGTTGCCCTTATACAAAATATTTTTGCGGCCAAATAAGTAAAGCTTTAACTTTGAAAATCTTAAAGAACTATTTATTTGTTTGCCAATAAGTATCTATGTTACCGTATAACTTTAGACCACGTTAACCGATTTTTATAATTCTTTCTTAACCGACTTCACAAAAAGGAGAAGGTCACACTGGTTTACAACAAAAATGTTCTATGGATGGCACTACCAGATTCCTATGTAGAATTGCTCGGTGACTCCGAAAATCGAGTAAATTTTTTTTCTAAATACACGTTTTAGAGATATTTTCAATTTATCGTTATTCAGCTTAAAGCAAAAAGTGGTTCCTTTTAATCACGTATATCTTACGAACCAATTTAACACTCTCAATATGAAATACGGAAAATTAAAGCTAATTAAATTCTCCATAAACCGTGTATACATCACTTTCCGATAAGGGTTATAGTTTCTGACAAATTAATTAATCATTCCAGTTTTTTATTTTTTAATGAAAATTTAAAAAGAAATCAATCTTTAACAAAAGAAAAATTAAAAAATTAACAGGTTCTGTGTCAAATTTTTGCATTTGTGCTAAAGTCTGTTCTGTTAAAAAAAAAAATCAAATTACTAATGAAGAAAATCCATGGATAAATAAGAACCAATGGGAGATCAAAGGAAAATACGCAAAGATTTTTTGTATGAAAAATGAGCAGGAACGAAAGTTACTCATACGCCACGTACACCTGAGTAACACGCTGAAAAACTGGAATGATTAATTAATTTATCAGAAACTATCAGTCCTATCGGAAAGTGATGTAAATATGGTTTATGGAGAATTTTATTAGCTTTGATTGACGTTTCTCCTTTTAAGATTATTAAATTGGCTCGTAAGATATACGTGATTGAGTGGAACCACTTTTTGTTGTAAGCTGAATAAACGTAAAATGAAAATATCTCGAATAAGTATAAACAGAAAAAAAATTAACTCGATTTTCGGAATCAGCGAGCAATTCTACATAGAAATTGGACAATGGTATCTGGAGAACAAAAACCAAACTAAAATTTGTGATCCAGTGTTATCAGTTCGTCGGAATATTTTTTATTTTTTATGTATGTTACCGCATAACTTTGGACCACGTAAACCGATTTCGATAATTTTTCATGGGAAAGGTGGTATCTCAAGGGTGCCCCATTCTAATTTTGTTTAGATCCGATAATATGATCGCGAAGAAATTAACGACACTCTTAAATTTTTGTATGAGAATTGAAGTCGGTTTGGTTTTGTGCTTAAAAATTACTTGTTTAAAGGAGAGGTGATACCTCAGAGGTGGTCTCATACTAATTTGGTTTAGATCCGATCATTGGATTATGAAAAAATTAACGATAATCTTGAATTTGTATATGAGAATTGAAGTCGGTTTTGTTTTTTTGCTTAAAAATTACTTGTTATTGTTTAGACTCATGTTCAAATTTCTACAAAAGATACGAGTAGCTTATGATAACTAAAACATGAAATAAATACTTTAGTTGAGATGTGATCAATATCTACACTGAGAAAAAGGATTAGTTTCGACAACTAAAGATATTTAGTTCCCGAATTTTGACAATATTTGGGAACTGTGACCAAGGATTGGGAACTATTACCATGTAATATTCATCTAGGTTGTACCAAATCGTTAATTTAGTTGAAGGGTTTGGTAAATACTAATAAATATTTTTTTGAAGCATATTTCTACAAATTCCGTTCAACTTAACGTATGGCTCATAAAATGATGTCATTAAGCTCTGCTAATACAGATAAGCTTTCTTTCAACACATGGTTTAGGCATAGTTATAGTTACCAAATCTTAGTTGAGGCAACCACGATTTGGTTTGAGAGCGGAACATATTCATGTTTGTGAGCAGTGTTGCCGTTTTAGACCTTTGGTGGCTAGATTTAGCTACCACATACTTTTTTTGGCCACATAAATTTAAAATTGCCCCTAGCCCTTTTTTTAGCCCTTTGGCATGAAAAAATTGTATATGCTTAATTTGATCTAATTTTTTTTCATTTATGTAAGAGATGAATTTTTAACTAAGAACGACTGATATATATTCATAAATGTATTGTATGTTTCTTACGTTTTTATACATACATACTGTAAAAGTGTTAGGGTTGTTAACTTATCTATTAACGATTTAACTATAGTTTAAAATAGATAAGTTTACGGCCCTTAGGGCCAGTTTTTCAGTGCCAGTTTAAACTCAGATTAAGTAAACTGAGTTAATTTCCGCTCGCTAAATTGAACAACTGGCTGACATTTGATTGGCTGATCTTGGTTTAAACCAGCCTGATCGGGCGTTTAAACTTAGTGTAAACCACGGCCGTGCACTGAAAAACTGTCCCTTAATATGGTTAATTTGTTAAATGGCCTATCAAGGCGATTGACCGTGTATGTTCTTGTGGTGTGATTGTACCAGCTGCTAGTGCGACTTCAAAGACTATTTGAAAATTTTGTGATTGTCGTGAGTGGTAAAATTAGTTCAATTTTCTAAGTAAAAAATATTTTGGCGGAAATTTCTTGCACTATATGAGTCAAGGCCGTGTTTGTGGAATATTAAGTTCACGATATTGCAGTTTTGAATTAAAATAAAAAACAATGTTTAACAAAGTGATAGAAAAATTATGAATTTTCGGCTCTTAATTATTTCGATCTTTCCTCGACCTCAGTTGTAACGAAATAAATATTGTACCAGCATTCTGGTAAGTTATATGCTTCGAGCCTGATGGTACAATCACTTGATAGAGCCAGCATGCTGGTGTCGTATATTTCCCCTTTTATACAAAAAGGTTTTGGTTGGATAAAATATTAGCTTTTTTAAAGAGTTCATTGTTTTTCTATACCATTACTTATTGAAAATGTTTACGTGTATACTTATATATGTATATGTAAGCAAACAATTTTAGCTACAATTTTTAGCCACAACGACTTTTTTTAGCTCTTTTTTAGAACTTTTTTTAAAGCAATTTGGCTACCACTAAAAAAGATTCGCGGCAACACTGCTTGTGAGCCACTTCTAAATAATGCTCAGCGCTCTCTGAGCACATGTGTGTTTCACATACGAAGAGCGCCAGCTAAGCAATGCACACTCCCACTTATTGAATAGTTTGAATGCTCTAGTATGCCGACCAATGTTGCCAGAACTTTTTGGGCCGACCGGCTAGATTGGCAAAAAAAAGCGGCTAAAAACGGCTAAAATGTTTTATTGAAATTTCACATAGACTCGGGCAAAAAACGGCTTAAATGTTTTAGTGAAAATCCACATGCTTTATTTAAATAAATCGCAAGAAACGAAAGACTAGTTAAGACCATTAATTTATATCGAGTGTATATTCCTCATCATCAAATGAATCACTATTGTATATATCACCTGAATTCATTAATTTTAAGAGATCGTCATCTACAGTAAAATTATGGCAGCATTTTTCTTCACGTTTTAAACCGTATCTTATATATAAAATAGCGTTTAACGTTTTAACGCACATTGGATTTCTTTGCTTAGTTTTTATTATATTCATTGAACTAAATATTCGCTCTACTTCTGCATTACTTATAGGCAAAACAAGAAAACTAAAAACTAGGTTGCAAAGGTCAGCAAAAGGGTTTTCTCCTAGGGCATTCGAAATTGATAAACTTCGGCCCAAAATTTTA